GTGTGGAGAGAAAGAAATGGCAGATACTTTAAAGACCACACACGGATGACAGAGCAATTTAGAAAAATGTTTTACTTGACTTTGTATAGCTGGTATAAGTTCGATAGAAGGGTTGCCGAATTTTTTATCGTTTCTATTTTGTTTAACATGATAATGCACTCCTTGTGTATTATCTTTTACTTTTGATTTATAAAATTTACGTGATTATTTATAAAAAAAAAAAAGTCCCAAATGGATATCTAGGTCATGCTTGCTGCTTTTAATGGATGTACCTCATCCAACACTGGATTTGATCGCGTCTTATGTACTTGGTTGTGACTTTCAATCCCTTGCTCCACCTCTTTCAATGCTTTAATCCTCTAGTCATTCCCACTTGGAATGCCAACATTAATCTTTCGTTGTGGGACGAAGAGAAATATCTAATTGCCTAGAAAAATCGAATGAGTAATGCCATTTAGCACCTTTGGTGTTTAGCATTAGTCTAGTTGACATCATTTATGTCATTAAATTATAAGTTCAATTAAATATAAGGATTTGACTTATTTAATTGGAATTAGGATATGTTGATACCTATGCTGGTATTCAATATCACTGGTGTTAGATAGTATTATTGAAAGCGAATTTTATGTTTACCTCATGCAAAATAAATTTTAATGTACACCTCAATCTTATCATTTATTTGATATCTGAATTCAACTTAAGATGCAAATTGAGAAACGTGTATCTATATTTACTTTGAATTAATAATATGAAAATTAAAAAAAATCTATTGTTATAGTATTTTATATTTTGTGTGTATTTATTGATTTATTTATTTATCGCATCCAGTTTGACTACTGTTCAACCTCAGTTGAACCTTTTGATCTTTTTCAGGTTGATGTCCGGGTTAGTTTTTAAAACATTAGTATTTATTGACCTATTAATCCTTTCATGTTGTCATAGAATATTTATTTTCAATTTTAACGTTCAACACTAATAAACTTCTAATTATGTGTTTTTTACTATTATGTTATGTTGAAATATTGATTCGCACTCAAGAGTCACTAAATCTAAAGTAAAATTGTTGCCTTAGAAACATTCTTAAATTTCTGAAAACATCCCCGTTGGTTAAAATATTTTTTTTTTCTACTTTTGTATAGTTCAAACTTGCAGTTTTATGTGAAAGTCAAGTTATAATTTTTTTTTTTTTGGTCTACTTTTTCCATTGATACTTCTTCTTTCACGTTCCTTGTTGATCAATCGAAAATTATAATTCAAATAATTAAATTGGCCTGGCATCATTTTAATTTGGAAGTTTAAAACTTCCAATTGCCTAGTTGGATATTTATGTGTACATATAATCTTAAAGGCTCTGCATCTTTTATCAAACATCATGTGTAGTGTTCTCCTATTTAGCATGTTTACACAACAAGGCTTCTGATGTCTTTGTAGTCTCGTTTTAGATATATATGTGGACGAGTTTTAGAAGAGGGGTTTTAGTTTAATGATTATTGTATACTTTAGGAAGTGTGCTTTTGGATGCATTGGGAGTTTGGGACACTACATAATGTACAAGATTTTAGTTTCTTGTCTACTTTTGTCAAGTATTATGTAGTCTACCTTATCATAAACCGTCAAAAGGTGAAGTAAACTCATTTTGTTCTGAAATAAGGTACAATTACTAAAGCTACGACAAAAAGGGAACATATAATTGGTTTAGCTATGTATATGGCAACAGGCTTAAAAATGCTATCGATTGTGGTGATTAAAGGGGAAAATAATCTCCTTACTCTGACCCAATCAGCAATGAATATTACTGGATTATAGGATTTGTCAAATTTCCTATCCCCCGACCCCAGTTTTCATAATTAAATCTGATGGGTTTAAATCTGATGGATTATAGGATTTGTCGAAGTTCCTATCCCCCTACAAAAATAATTGATACTGCTTGAAACTTCTGTGCACTGCATTTGGTTTATATGGCATTTTAGAGCATAGCTTTTCCTTGATGATGACTGTAAATTATGATACTTTGTAGCCCCTGTTTGACAACCATTAGTTGGGGAATATAGAGTTTTGAATGTGATTTCTAGGAGTATGTGTGGTTAAAAAGTAAGAAAATGTTTTGGATTTATGTGCAAACTATTTTATTATGTGAATGTGTGGTTGAAAATGAGTGTGTAGAAAAAAATTTGAAAATAATGGTCGTCAAATTGGGGGCTTATTAAAGTTCTTTTTAAAGAAAAAGGATGGTGTTATCTCCGTTTTCACACTGTACTATTGTTTCTGCAGGTGGCAGAAAGGGCTTTATTTTTGTGGAACAACGATCATATCGAGAACCTTATCAAACAAAACCGTAAAGTTATACTGCCAATTATCTTCCCTGCATTGGAAAGGAATGCGAAAAATCATTGGAACCAGGCAGTACAGAACTTGACACTGAATGTCCGGAAGATATTCTCTGACACTGATCCCGAGCTCCTTGAGGAGTGTTTGCTCATGTTCCAAGAAGACGAAGCACGAGAAGAAGAAACTCGGACAAAACGAGAAGCGACATGGAAACGTTTGGAAGAAATTGCTGCAATGAAAGCTTCAAGTAATGAACCCGTGCTTGTCCCTAGCAGGACAAACTCGAACACTCCATCAGGCTAGAGACTGAAGATTACAGTTGATTTCTTAGCTTATTGGTATATATGTTATTCAGATGGCTAGAATGAGCTCAGAGTTGGAACTATTACTCGAGAAGTTTATATTGTTTTTGCCCGCCTTCTCGTGCTTCTTACTTTTGGCCAGCCGGGTTACGCCGGAAATGTACATATGAACTTGGGTGACAAAACTGCAGGGAGTTATAGGTCATGGAGGAAAATTGTCATCAATATTGGTCTTTAGTTTTTAGAATGATGACTTCTGCAATCAAGAAATCTCTGGTTAAATGTTTTTCAACTGATTTTCATTTATGTATTCTGTAATCTGCAATTCATGTAATGTATTCTATATTAGTTTGAGCCCCATTTTTTTACAAAAAATACCTTTTGCAATAGTGTTATGATGGCAAATGTGTAGTTAAAAAATATGGAAAAATTTTGGTTTTGCTTATAATATTATTTTATTGAAAAATGTATAATTATAATGAAGTCAAATCACTGTTTAAAAATGCATTTTGATATTAAAAAAGGATTCTTTATATATATCACCATAACATGTCATACAAGGAATTCATTTCTCTGAGGTTTTCAGAAGTTGTACGCGATGACTTTCTTATTCCATTTCATGGAGTACAAACACTCAGAAGAACGAGCTTTGCTCCTTGTACGGAAGCCAAACCCACATAATTTCATCAGTATACTCACACACGTGGGTCCGGCACAATTTTTTTTAAAATACACGGTGGGACTCGCATATTGTGAGTTTTTTAGTGAAATTCTATGGGAAGCTTTCTGTACATGGGGGAGAGCTGCAGAGGAACAGATCAATCCAGCAGATCAACGGCTCCAGTTTACTTGCATCACATGGAGTACCTGGCACGGACGCATCAGAACAAACAAAAAGACAGCGCAAACCTGCATGTGAATCCATCTGAGGAATTTTCAATATTCATCCTCAGTTTATTGTCTAGTATTAAATTGGTCTCGCAATTTTGAAAATGAGCAAATTAATCCTCAAACTTTCATCATATTTCCCTAATTGGTCGTCAACGGTAATACCATGCAAATTTCTATTACATCATTACGTGATTCTCACACGTTCAATTTTATAAATTTAAATTATTTTGGGACGATTCGAAATTTTGAAGTAATTCATAATTACAAAAAACTATACATGATTAATTGTGATGATCGGTAATCCTTGATTTATTTTTTAATGTATTACAATGCATTAAAATTTTATTGGATAATGAATCGAGAGCTCATTGCCACTTAAATTAATTAAAATTAAAATTAATCGTTGACTTCAACATTAATTTAAATTTAAATCCTTACCAAACATGGGACTATGAGTTTGACATGAACTTAGAGACTCATAATAATGGTGAAATTCTTTAATACATCCTTCCACTATACACATAATCGATTGCACTATCATTACTATTTCTAATCTCTCTCTCTCTCTTTGTGCCACTTTTTCTCTGTACAAATTAATGAAATTTTGATTTCAATTTTTCGTAAATTCGGAACCAAAATCCAAATTATCCAACGTAAATCCATAAATTAGAACGAGTTCAATCATAGCTAAATTTCATGCTTTTATTCTCATTTTTACTGTCCGTCTAAATCAAATCATAGAAACAGAGCGAAAGGGAGAAGAATTTTGTGTAGATATAAATATAATATACGTATTTTTGGATTCGCCGGAAATGCCAAGCATTGGGGTGAAATTATACAGCGTATTCTTCAAATTTATGCTAAAGCATCGGTTGCAAGGCCGATTACAGAACCCGGATAGCGATGTCGGGGGTGGAGGGAGTTTTGGTGTGACGTCGCGGCCGGAGGAGGAGACAGTGGCGGCTGCCAACCCTTCGTTCACCGACGGTGTCGCCACCAAGGACATCCACATCGATCCCTTGACATCGGTCTCAGTACGTATTTTTCTTCCCGATACTTGCCTTAATTTTTCTGAAACCCTTAACAAACCTCTGTCCCGGGTTGCTGGATCGGATCCAAATCTAAGCGCGCACCGTCGGAACAGCTATGGGCCTGCGATTAATAATGTTTCTAGTAGTAATGGTGTAACGGTCAAGCATGCTCACAATCAGGATAATTACAGGAGAAATAGTTATGGATGTAGTAGCGATGGTGTTGGTTTGAAATCGGAGAGTGGGATATACAGAGGTTATAATCCGATGGGGAGTAATTTTCGAAAATTGCCGGTGATGTTACAGTTTCACGGTGGGGGGTTTGTGAGTGGGAGCAACGATTCTGAGTCGAATGATTTTTTCTGCAGGCGTATCGCAAAGTTATGTGATGTGATTGTGTTGGCGGTGGGTTATAGGCTAGCCCCTGAGAATAAGTACCCCGTAGCATATGATGATGGGTTGAAGGTACTGCATTGGTTGGCAAAGCAATCAAATTTGGCTGAATGTAGTAAATCATTGGGGAGTATGCGGGGTGGTGGGGCAGATTTGAGGAAGTCTGATGGTCAGTGGCACGTTGCTGATGCCTTTGGTGCATCAATGGTGGAGCCCTGGTTGGCTGTCCATGGAGATCCATCGAGGTTAGGCTTGATCACACGGACTTGTTTGAGGGCTATTGCTTGTTAATGCTGTTTTTAGACGTAGAAAAAAACTTTAGGGTAGACTTTATCAAGTTTGGGAATATATTACTATCAAATGAATGGTTATTAAACTGAGCTTGATTCTTGCTGTTGCTTTGTCTGGATGGCTTCTAATCTTCAGATTGTTTCTCTTTTAAGTAGATGTAAATGTCCGTCATGAATTGACATGGTTGGCAAACTAGAAAAATAGGAGTGGGAATTAAAATTCCTGGATTGTTAAATGAGAGATGCCGGATAGGAATGCACTGTGGAATGAAGATTGAAATATAACTTAAATGCAATAACAGAACCCCTTATAGAGTTTTAAAATTCTGTTTACTTGTTAATTTTTAATTCTTGATATTTGCTCGTCTGCTACTTTTGTATATGAATGTTTATTAACTAGCTTCCTTTTCTTTGTTCTTTTAAGGTGACTTATTTGCTATTTCCTGGAACCTTCATTTGTTGATTTGTGATCAGCTGTTGGTTTACCCATCAATGAAGAATCGTCTCTTCTTATGGTTATATTTTGTAAAGCTGCATTTGAAATGAAGATTAAGTGGACGTAATGGGGATTAAACTAAGGAATGTGGCTTGACTTCAAGAATTTTAAGGAGCATGCATGGGTAGTTTTGTAGCCTCTTATCTGACTAGATTTAGGATAATGCTTTTAAAGAAGTATGGATGTCCAATTATATTTGAAACCTTTTCATAGTGTCCACTTTTTAGTGTTGCTTTTCCCTTATATAGTTGTATCGACTCAAAAGCCTATCGCTAATTTTTCATCCTGCTTGTAGAGAGTTCAAATCTCATGGTTTATGCACTTCAATGCCTTGGCACGACAAGATGTGTCATTGGTTTTATGGGCGTACATGTGCTATAATTTTTTTTATCTAATCTATTTGGTCTTTCAAATATTTTATAAGCTTCAAGTTGCAGACTGCTTTTTGCTTGAGTAAATAATTGCTTCCATAAAAAGCTCAATTCTTAGTCTGAAAAATAATATGCACGTGAAATGTGAGGAAAATTTGAGTGAAAAAATAAGGAGAGGATTCTAAGCGAATCCTTTTTTGTTACCAATAATGCATCTGTTTTGCTGCCCCTCTTTAAGAATTGATGAAGACACAACACACAAGTTTTGGGTACCGATTTGCTGAAAGTTGTTTGTCTTAAATTGCAACAATATGGTGTTGAAGCGGAAGAATTGCCACTTAAGTCTAGCTTGATAATTAGATTGATTGATTCTTTGTTGGCTACTAAAGTCTAGCTTAATAACTAGATTGATTGAGATTCTTTGTTGTATGTTGCGAAGAACTCGTTTAATGAGGTATTCCACGCATATATTTAAGATTTTAGGTTTTTCTTTCATTCCAATTAATTGGGTAATTTATTCTCAATCAGAAGGCTAGAGAATGTATCATATAATTTGCAAACAGACATATACGTGTTAAGAACTGATGCAGCAATTTAGTGTCAGACACTGTTGATCGTCCTTCAAAAAATATGTCAACTAACATGAATACAAGGTTTAAAAAGGCGAAACTAAGTACTGAGGCGATTTTTCTTTATGAGGAGAGGCGTAAGCCTCGAGGCGGATTGAGGCGTAAGCCTCACAAAAAACA